ACGGAGGCCTCGGAGAACGGAGCCTCCAGCGTCGCTGGTCACGGAGGCCTCGGAGAACGGAGCCTCCAGCGTTGCTGGTCATGCCATCTATAATGGGAATATGCTCCGTTTCTGTACACTGTTGGTCACGGTGTGGGTGTTAGGATTACGGTCAGTACAGTACAGAGGTTTGATATTTATAGGGTGATTGGGCACTGGCCCCCTGGGGGTCCTCTTGTAACACTACCCCATTCCAGTCCTCAGTCAGTGTCCGAAGGTGATGGACCTCTTCTCCTTTATGGAGAAATCATTTTAGCTTAACTAGTTTATTGTTTTATGTCAGTTTCTTCATTCAGCTCTTCACTGTCTTCTAATACAACAATGGAAGCAATGTATCTGGATTGGTACAACTTTGGTAAACCCTTCAGAGTTGTACCCAGATTCCCCGTGTTAGAGGAGGCCAGGGAAGATTTCTCAGCCCTAGGCTCCTTGTAAGGTAAACCAGATTCTCAGGATCAGAAAACCAGAGTGGACTTCTGCTGAATAGTGTGCACACCGGCACCCCAACATATACTTCTGCCAGGAAAGAGGACAATACTAGACATGCTGCCAACATTCCATGCACATGTGTACACGTGTGTGCATGTAGCAATGGTGCCCAGCGGCCTATTTAAATGGATGTGTCCCTGGGAGAAGTTGCTGAATGGTCTTCAGCTTCTTCCACGGGTCCTGAGACCTGATCTGACCTTTTATGACCCGACTTCTCCCTACACTTTACTCTCTTCTTCAACCTTGCTCATCCGGTTACTCTGACCTCAGTCTGTTTACTGGACTTGTCTCTGCTGATCCTGCACTGCTCCTGCCCCGCTGCTACCGACCCGGGACTGATCATTGAACTATCTCTGCTGATCCTGCACTGCTCCTGCCCCGCTGCTACCGACCCGGGACTGATCATTGGACTATCTCTGCTGATCCTGCACTGCTCCTGCCCCGCTGCTACCGACCCGGGACTGATCATTGAACTATCTCTGCTGATCCTGCACTGCTCCTGCCCCACTACCGACCCGGGACTGATCATTGAACTATCTCTGCTGATCCTGCACTGCTCCTGCCCCGCTACTGACCCGGGACTGATCATTGAACTATCTCTGCTGATCCTGCACTGCTCCTGCCCCACTACCGACCCGGGACTGATCATTGGACTATCTCTGCTGATCCTGCACTGCTCCTGCCCCGCTACCGACCCGGGACTGATCATTAGACTATCTCTGCTGATCCTGCACTGCTCCTGCCCCGCTACCGACCCGGGACTGATCATTGAACTATCTCTGCTGATCCTGCACTGCTCCTGCCCCGCTGCTACCGACCCGGGACTGATCATTGGACTATCTCTGCCTGCTGATCCTGCACTGCTCCTGCCCCGCTACTGACCCGGGACTGATCATTGAACTATCTCTGCTGATCCTGCACTGCTCCTGCCCCGCTGCTACCAACCCGGGACTGATTGGACTATCTCTGTCTGCTGATCCTGCACTGCTCCTGCCCTGCTGCTACTGACCCGGGACTGATCATTGAACTATCTCTGCTGATTCTGCACTGCTCCTGCCCCCGCTGCTACTGACCCGGGACTGATCATTGAACGATCTCTGCTGATCCTGCACTGCTCCTGCCCCGCTGCTACCAACCCGGGACTGATTGGACTATCTCTGTCTGCTGATCCTGCACTGCTCCTGCCCTGCTGCTACTGACCCGGGACTGATCATTGAACTATCTCTGTCTGCTGATCCTGCACTGCTCCTGCCCTGCTGCTACTGACCCGGGACTGATCATTGAACTATCTCTGCTGATCCTGCACTGCTCCTGCCCCACTACTGACCCGGGACTGATCATTGAACTATCTCTGCTGATCCTGCACTGCTCCTGCCCCGCTACTGACCCGGGACTGATCATTGAACTATCTCTGCTGATCCTGCACTGCTCCTGCCCCACTACTGACCCGGGACTGATTATTGGACTATCTCTGCTGATCCTGCACTGCTCCTGCCCCACTACCGACCCGGGACTGATCATTGAACTATCTCTGCTGATCCTGCACTGCTCCTGCCCCGCTGCTACCAACCCGGGACTGATTGGACTATCTCTGTCTGCTGATCCTGCACTGCTCCTGCCCCGCTGCTACTGACCCGGGACTGATCATTGAACTATCTCTGCTGATTCTGCACTGCTCCTGCCCCGCTACCGACCCGGGACTGATCATTGAACTATCTCTGCTGATCCTGCACTGCTCCTGCCCCGCTGCTACTGACCCGGGACTGATCATTGAACTATCTCTGCTGATTCTGCACTGCTCCTGCCCCGCTGCTACCGACCCGGGACTGATTGGACTATCTCTGTCTGCTGATCCTGCACTGCTCCTGCCCTGCTGCTACTGACCCGGGACTGATCATTGAACTATCTCTGCTGATCCTGCACTGCTCCTGCCCCACTACTGACCCGGGACTCATTATTGGACTATCTCTGCTGATCCTGCACTGCTCCTGCCCCGCTACCGACCCGGGACTGATTATTGGACTAGCTCTGCTGATCCTGCACTGCTCCTGCCCCGCTGCTACCGACCCGGGACTGATTATTGGACTAGCTCTGTCTGCTGATTCTGTCTCGCACTGCCTGGCTGTTACCAACCTTGGCCTGTTCACCAGTTTCTGGTCCTATCTACCTGGTACGTCATACATGCATCTCATGTTGCAGCTTCACACAATATGTTTGCCAATGTTGATGTGATCTCTTCTGGGTGCAAACACCTCTACATTGTTGCACTTGATCTTCCTCCATCTTGGTTGGCCCCTTTAGGGGACTAAGAGACCAGCTAAGTCTAAGACATTCTCCATTCATGAACAAATGGAATGAGTAATATGTGATGATTGGATCAGTCCAGAAAACATGGTCACATCTCCAAGAATCATTGCTAAAGTGGACTGTTCTGGTCGTACTCCCCGCCATCTCAATCATCTTACTGTACCTATGGAGGATGAGCCGTCAGTCAAAGACTCTTCACATAGAAAGTCCGATACACCGATAAAAGCCCGGTCAGCTGAAACTGCCTGGAAAAGATGCTCATGCGTATGCCCTTTGAAGGAGGACGTCTCTTATGAGGGACTTGACAAATTCATCAAAAGATGTCAGAGGAGGAAAGGTTCTTCTTTCATAGAGGAAGGCTGGAACATTGCCCTCCTCACGGGCTTCTGCCTCCTGAAAGTGAAAATCACCTCAGCGTTCTGCCCAGGCTTTGACTTCCAAAGAAAAATCTACCCTTTTGGAGCAAAACTCAGAACACAAAACCCGCTTTACAATGAAGAGCCGCGAACTTCGAGAAATGGGGGGACGTCTGTTACAGTTTGCCTTTCTCTGCATCACGAACATCCCACACCTAGCGGTTCAAGCAGTGCTTTCAATTGGACACAAAAAAAGACTTTCAAATTCTACCCCTTACTGCTTTCTTCTCCCAAACCGACCAAAATCTGCTCAAGAACACTCAGATTTGCAGATCAACCTGAACCATCTCTTAGCAGATCACGTCAGTCGTATACAATGGAGGGCTTCCTGTCATGCCATCCATTGTATACAATTATGTTGTTAGCTGTGATTGGTCAAGGCAGTCACATGATACAGACAGGGCCAATCACAGCCCATCTGTATCATGTGATCAGCTTTGCCCAATCACAGCTAATCACAACAAAAGACTGAATGGATCAATTTCATTCAATAACAATGATTGCAAATATCAATGAAATACATGGGTATCAGCAATCAGAATGTGTAACATTGTATTCCTTTGGTCACAGTGTGCTGTAAAATAAAATCGTAACAAAAAGAAAAAAAATTAATAGAAACATTTGAAAAAAAAATACAAATGAAATTATTATTATTATTTTCACCAAAGAAACGTAGCAGAATACATTGTGACCAAAATTTATGAAGAAATTGTATTTATTTGCAAAATTTTATAATAGAAACGAAGAAAAGTGCATTTTTTTTTCAAAAGATTTGGGTGTTTTTTGTTTTATTTAGCAAAGAATAAAAACCTCGGTGATTAAATACCACCAAGAGAAAGCTCTATTTGTGTGAAAAAGATGATACAAATGTCATATGGATACAGTGTTGCATGATCGCGCAATTGTCATTCAAAGTGCGACAGTGCTGAAAGCTGAGAATTGGCCTGGGCAGGAAGGGGGTGACCGTGCCCGGTATTGAAGGGGTTCATGGTCTATGGGTAGCCTCTGCGACAAGGGCGGGGGAGGATATCATGGATACTAGAACTAAAAAAAATGGTTCAGATTTGCCCAAGATTCACCCTACTGTAAGGCAGCCCATAGACAGTGCAATCGTCTTTCCTGCAACCACCATTTCTCCATCACCATAGACGGTACTGACAGGGGAATCCCTCCTGCAGAGCAGTTGTCCTCTCCGCTTCGGTCCCCGCCGGGAGGAGACGGGGATTATTGCTAGTGGCTATAGCATTGGTCAGCGATAATCACAGGCTGGTTGTACCCAAGTTCATCGATCGATCGGATTGGTACATTCCACCTGCCCACACATGATTGGGATCTCTGGTTCCTGCTGAACCGGCCAAGATTCGAGCAATCAGTGGCTGGCTTCAATTCTATCATTGTGTGCAGAAAACATGGATTTGTATCCTTCAGCAGAACCCCCCCTCCCCCCCATACACTGAAGTGCATTGACCACATTTGTCCCGTTGCAGCATTTTATACATTTGGCTAAAAGATCCGATTTATCTTTTTATACGTTTTGCCGTTATTCGCCTCGTTTATATTCCCGCACGCATTTCATAGCTTTAATAACGCTTTTTTTTTTTTTTTTTAAACTAAATCAGTCGTATTTGCACGCTGGCTGTAGTGTGGGGGATGGGAGTTGTGTGTCTGAGCGGATCAGGTCTTCAGATTCCAGATTCCACCTAAAACCGAACAATAAACCTCGAGGTGGATACAGAGAGCTCAGCCTACCTGCCAGTTCAGTTTTCATCCAGACATTGCCGTACTGCAACAGTCCCTTCTGGAACCTGGAGGTCCTGGAACACGCCAGCCGGAGATGCTGGAACTCCTTCATTAAAGAAAACAAATCAATAATAGGTTTTGAAGCCGACAATCGGATTGGAGGAGATTGTACAGTATATGGTTGGTGGTGCACACAGACAGAAGGTACAGAGTACAGTCCTCAGGACATTCCCCCCCCCCACAGACCCGGGATAGAGGTGTACTGTGTGTGGAGGATTCACCCCCATTACATATGTGGAGGCCACAGGGGGGGACTTTGCTGACCTCAGGCTGCACACAGGCACTGCTGGGAGGCCGATGGTGCTGAGAGCGCTCCCAGCACAAGGACCTCTCTCGGTCCGGGCTAAAGATCAGACGTTGGTGGTACCGGTGACCACTGTGACAGTAACCACATGATCGCCAATCCTTCCCGCCCCCCCCCGGGTGTTTGGAACTGATTAAAGGGACGGGGGGGGGGGGGGGCAGGAAGGGGTTAAAGAACTTTCTAGTAAATTGTGCAAATCTTAACCATTAGCCGCCCGGCCAATGGCCGTTTGGCGGCTTCAATTGTGTCCCTGCATTCCGGGTGCAAGCCATTTGGCGTGCTCCCGCACATGCGCCGTTTGCGCTAATGCAGAGCCGCGCAGCAGTGCGATCTGTCACCGGCCGTGTACCTCGGACACGGCCGATGACAGATCCGAGTACCGGCTCCCGTTGCTGGTACCATGTGACCTGCTGTGACCAATCACAGCAGGTCACATGACAGTTGTATACAATGGATGGCTTCATTCATGATGCCATCCATTGTATACTAGTGCCTAGCTGTGAATGGTCACAGCTAATCACATGCACATGTCATGTGATTAGCTGTGACCAAATCACAGCTAAGCACAAAAAAAAAAAAAAAAAAAAAAAAAAAAACTGAATGAATCGATTTCATTCAGGTAAATGCTTGCTTATAGCAAAGTAATTCTTTGCTATAAGCAAATTGTGTAAAAAAAAAAAAAAAAAAAATACTGATCACTTCCCCAAAGTAGTACAATGTTACTATGGTAACATTGCACTACTTTGGTCATAGTAAAATATGAAAAAAAAATCTTAAAAAAAATAAAAAAAAATGTAAAAAAATTAAATATAATAAAAAAAAAAAAAAAAATATATATATATATATATTGTTTTCATACTGTCACCAGTCAGTGTCCCTTTTCACTGCCATGCCAGTTATATGATGACGCTGTACTGCACTGGTGACAGTATGTAAAAAAAAAAAATAGTGAAAATAATTTTTTTAATTTTTTCATTTTCCGAAAAATTATGACAAAAAAATACAACTTCAAAAAACTCGCCATTCCTCTCATGAAGTACGTCGGACTGTCTACTCTGCAAAAAGGGGTCATTTGGGGGGATATCTGTCCCGTCCTGACATTTGGGGGATATCTGTACCGTTCTGACATTTGGGGGATATCTGTACCGTCCTGACATTTGGGGGATATCTGTACCGTCCTGACATTTGGGGGATATCTGTACTGTCCTGACATTTGGGGGATATCTGTACTGTCCTGACATTTGGGGGGATATCTGTACCGTCCTGACATTTGGGGGATATCTGTACCGTTCTGACATTTGGGGGATATCTGTACTGTCCTGACATTCTTGGACCTCAAGAAATTCGATTGGCTGTCAGTACTTCAGGATTGATCAATATTCAGATCTGTCCCATAGTTTGTGAAATCTATAACTTTCCTACAAACTAAAAAATACATCCTAATTTGGGTTATTTTCACCCCAGAAATGTAGCAGAATACATCTCGGCCTAAATTTATGAAGAACAATTATTTATTTGTAAACTTTTATAACAGAAACAAAGAAAAATGTGTTTTTTTTCAAACTTTTTGGTCTTTTTTTTGTTAATTTAGCAAAAAATAAAAACCCGGCAGTGATTAAATACCACCAAAGAAAGCTCTAGTTGTGTGAAGAAAAATGATAAAATTTTTGTTTGGGTACAATGTTGTATGACCGCGCAATTGTCATTCAAAGTGTGAGAGCGCTGAAAACTGGCCTGGGGGGGGAGGGGGTAAAATTGCCCGGTATTGAAACGGTTAAAGTGGAAGTGAAGGCAAATCCTGATGAACGCTAAACCCGCCCTCAGCCCCATTCTAGGCGAACCTATCCAGCCTTGTAAAGAGAAAACTAGAAAATCTACAATTTCTGGGGAAATTGTGTGAAGTGTTCTTGCAGCCAACCCCAACCAAATGATTGATGAAATGTAAGCAGTGCACATGGCAAGCCTGATAGTGAGAAATGCATTTCAGCTGTTATTTTGCAGCTCACAGTCCAGCCTGGTGACCCATCTGCCTGGTGACCCATCTGCCTGGTGACCCATCTGCCTGGTGACCCATCTGCCTGGTGACTCATCTGCCTGGTGACCCATCTGCCTGGTGACTCAGCTGCCTGGTGACCCATCTGCCTGGTGACTCATCTGCCTGGTGACCCAGCTGCCTGGTGACCCAGCTGCCTGGTGACCCATCTGCCTGGTGACTCAGCTGCCTGGTGACTCAGCTGCCTGGTGACCCATCTGCCTGGTGACCCATCTGCCTGGTGACCCATCTGCCTGGTGACCCAGCTGCCTGGTGACCCATCTGCCTGGTGACTCAGCTGCCTGGTGACCCATCTGCCTGGTGACTCATCTGCCTGGTGACCCATCTGCCTGGTGACCCATCTGCCTGGTGAACCATCTGCCTGGTGACCTTTGGTTGCTATAGCAACTCACTCAGTCAGGAATGTGAGAAGTGCTGTTCTAAACACACTGCTGCAACTTGCCAACTTCACTGGCGATTGCCATTTTCAAACGCTTGTAGTTTTAAAAGTATAAATGCTACTGCGAAAAGGTTGATATTGTGAGAATCACAATAACCAGACCTAAATTTTGATGTATAGTATGTCTCTGAAATATTAAAAATGAAGGCACAGTTGCAGTTTAAAAACGTCCCTTAAAATTTCAGGTATCTAGAGTGGAGTTTCAATGAAAGTCAATGGGAGGGGTGAGTTGCAAACAAATGGTCATATTGTGAAAACTATCAGGAGTATGTCCTAGCCGTGGACATTGTTAGTGACAGCCGGGATAGCTGAACGTTTTGATATAAGATATGTGTAGGTGGGCGGGACAATGACAGAGTGATGGCAGTTTACAAATCATGTCCTGATTTTTCCTTCCACACTGTAGCTGTGCTCTGCTCCCACTCTAGATTCATTCACCACAAAAACCGCGATATTTCTTGAACGATTCGGCGAAACGTTCCACAAAGTAATAGCAATCCGATCGGGAACAATCCGCACGTTTCGATATATTACTGTCTATGGAGTGTAAGAACTGTGGGAGGAGTCAGGGGGGTAAAATTGGCTATAATAAGAATATATATGTGAGATAACAGTAAGTGTTCCTGCGAGAAGACGTAATAATCGCTGTACTTACCTGTCCTGCAGCCGCTCCGCTCTCCATGGCGCCCTCTATGTGCAGGAGACGGGAAGTGACGTCACCCATGGAGTTACTATGGGGCTTCTGTTGTTGGCTGCGTCTCTCCTGCAGCCGCTCCGCTCTCCATGGCGCCCTCTATGTGCAGGAGACGGGAAGTGACGTCACCCATGGAGTTACTATGGGGCTTCTGTTGTTGGCTGCGTCTCTCCTGCAGCCGCTCCGCTCTCCATGGCGCCCTCTATGTGCAGGAGACGGGAAGTGACGTCACCCATGGAGTTACTATGGGGCTTCTGTTGTCGGCTGCGTCTCTCCTGCAGCCGCTCCGGTCTCCAGTGGCGCCCTCTATGTGCAGGAGACGGAAGTGACGTCACCCATGGAGTTACTATGGGGCTTCTGTTGTCGGCTGCGTCTCTCCTGCAGCCGCTCCGCTCTCCAGTGGCGCCCTCTATGTGCAGGAGATGGGAAGTGACGTCACCCATGGAGTTACTATGGGGCTTCTGTTTTCGGCTGCGTCTCCTGCACGCTGCAGCCGCTCCGGTCTCCAGTGGCGCCCTCTATGTGCAGGAGACGGGAAGTGACGTCACCCATGGAGTTACTATGGGGCTTCTGTTGTCGGCTGCGTCTCTCCTGCAGCCGCTCTGCTCTCCATGGCGCCCTCTATGTGCAGGAGACGGGAAGTGACGTCACCCATGGAGTTACTATGGGGCTTCTGTTGTCGGCTGCGTCTCCTGCACACTGCAGCCGCTCCGGTCTCCAGTGGCGCCCTCTATGTGCAGGAGACGGGAAGTGACGTCACCCATGGGGTTACTATGGGGCTTCTGTTGTCGGCTGCGTCTCCTGCACGCTGCAGCGGCTCCGCTCTCCAGTGGCGCCCTCTATGTGCAGGAGACGGGAAGTGACGTCACCCATGGGGTTACTATGGGGCTTCTGTTGTCGGCTGCGTCTCCTGCACGCTGCAGCGGCTCCGCTCTCCATGGCGCCCTCTATGTGCAGGAGACAGGAAGTGACGTCACCCATGGAGTTACTATGGGGCTTCTGTTTTCGGCTGCGTCTCCTGCACGCTGCAGCCGCTCTCCAGTGGCGCCCTCTATGTGCAGGAGACGGGAAGTGACGTCACCCATGGGAGTTACTATGGGGCTTCTGTTTTCGGCTGCGTCTCCTGCACGCTGCAGCGGCCGCTCTCCAGTGGCGCCCTCTATGTGCAGGAGACGGGAAGTGACGTCACCCATGGAGTTACTATGGGGCTTCTGTTGTCGGCTGCGTCTCCTGCAGCCGCTGCTGACAGCTCAGCCTGGGACCGCAGCGGCTGAGGAGCAGGTAAGTTCAGTGATTCTTCCTTTACAGGACTAGAGAGATTCGGCTCAGAATGGGGCTGAGAGCGGGTTCACACTTAGGATTTGCCTTTACTTCCACTTCAGGGCCCCGTTCAGATATCATGTTGCAGGAAAAAGTGTTCCCGCGTGCGATTCTGCGATTTACACGCATTGCGTGTGTTGTGCATACGGCGGCCCATTCACTGCAATGAGCTCCCAGCGATTGTGATGGTTACAATTCAGCAGGAAAGAGATGAAATCCGCTCCCTATATGGCCTCTATGGAGAG